AAATCAGCCTTCCAGTCATCATCTCATGTCACTTCATTTTCTGACTGGCCAGTGTTGTCTAAGCCTATGCCTGAGAGACAGATCATGAGACATTCTAGAATATGGGTCAGAGGGTTTGACAGATCACTGGAAGAACAACAAACTGAGGAGGAGGCACTATTGGCGGCAGTGTTTGGGGTAAATTGAATATCAAAGGGTCGTGTGAACAATGATCCTCGAATGTCAAGTTACAGGCAAAGTACCAGGTGACAGTTGGAAAGATAGAATGAGCCGAAGAAGTTGATGAAGGCCCAAGTCATTATTGTCAATGTGTCAGACTGCTGGTAAGAAACCTAGCATTTACATATCTTCCTGGTCTTTGTCCTGCTCCTCCTCTGTAGCACCTGCAGACAGTAGTGTCTTTTGTCCGCCATGTAAACCACACTGTCTAGTAGCTGTGACGAGCATTCAGAGTATTAACAACATTTCCATGGGAAAAGCTGAAAAGGCCATACGAGTGCCAGTCACAGGCCACAGACACTATTTGTGCAGAGCAAAGTCCTTAACAGTATCAATAATTGATGGACTTAATTTTTTTCTTATTGATTAATAAGTTTGACCCGAAATTTTACAAATTTACTCTATGTATCACCAGGATACATATCTTTTATATAGTACTTTATATACTTTATACTTGACTTCAAACTTTCAATCTTGGGTCCACAATTCCTGTAGTAGTCAAAGTTCAGATGACAGAAGATGGTCCACCATTCAAAATAATTTAAAAATTACATGTCCTCTGGTTTGACTTCACCCTCCACCTTTGATCAGCTGAACAGAGGGTTTCGTGACAGTTGGTTTACCCTCCCGAGGTTGATTGCTTGCGAGGTTTACCCCCCCCGAGATCATTGGTGCACGCAATTTACAAGTCGGACTCGCCATAAAGAGAGGTGGAGAAGGACATGTAGTCGAGGGCCTCTGGAGGAGCATCAGGACCAGAGTAAGGCTGCATGCGCTGAATACAGTATTCAGCCTGGTCTGGAGGAAGCTCACGCTGCAGTTCTTCAGGAAGGATGTATGGCTGAAGAGAAAAAAGAGAGACAATTTGGTGGATTGTCATAACAAGAGATAAAGTTAAAAAACAAAAAATTAAAAAAACTAAGAGCAATATAGTGTATTGTTTATAATATTGATAATTTCATTCACAAACTACGAAAAAAGAAACAAATGATGCAATAATTTCTAATTCATATAATATCACATCATCAAACCTCTGAAAACCTTACCTTGTCACCAGCCAAGATCCTGAAGGAGTCAATAACCTGTTCAGCAGTGTCAGAGTCCACATTCTCACGGGTCATGAAGTCCAGGAAGGCATCAAACTGAATGAATCCGGTGCTGTTAGGATCAACAATGCTTACAATGCGCTGGAAGTCAATCTCGCCCTGACGGTCCTTTCCAATGGAGTATCCCAGAGATATCAAGCACGATTTGAACTCCTCTGGGGCAAGGCGGCCACCCCTGAAATTAAAATTATAGATTTCATATATTTGTGATGGTTGATATAGTGCCACAGAATAATGTGAATTTTATCAAATTACTGCAGAGAAATTAGGGAATTTTCTTTTTCTTTTTGTGTCACAAATTACAGGAGAGTAAAGGATAATCTTTATCTTTTATGGATCCTACCATAAAGTCTTTGAAAATTTCTTTTACCTTTAAAATAAATAAAGAATAAACTACAACCAGATCAAGAAAGAGAGGTACACTGTATATCAAAGTAAAACTAAAATCCCTCAGAGGTGCTTTACCTGTTCTTGTCGAAGTGATTGAAGGAGGAACGGAACTCTGTGAGCTGCTCTTGGCTGATACCCTTGGAATCCCTGGTGAGGATCTGGTTCTCCACCTCGTTGATGGTGCGGTTGATGGAGGTCAGGAGTTGCTCCCATCCCACACGGAGGGTCTCCATTGTGTACTGGGTATACCTGTGTAAAAAGAAATACCATTACACTCTGCACAGATCCAACTTAAAAATTATAGTAACTTTTCACACAGCAAAAACTATTTCTATACAAAATACCACCATCATAGAGAAATGTCATAATGAAACATAAAAAATAAGAAATATAAAAATTTCCATAATATACGTGTTTTACAATGAAATCTTGAAAGTTGTTTTGTTTTACCTATTTTCGAAGATCATGGACTCCTGAACAGCCTGGTGAATCTTCTCCCATCTCATCCATGATGGCCTTGTTTCCAATAACAGCTGCTTCATAGTCCTTCAGACGGTTAAGCTGATCTTCAAGAACAGATCCCTATGGAAAATATGGATGGTTTCATTTTCTAAAGAAAATTCACTCTTATTTCAGATACATAGCAAAGATACTTTATGAGAAAGCTGTCTGCCATAGGAAGTATGATGCAATATAATATATTTAGCATGTACTCTTCATCTTAAACATCCAATACTTACATGCATGCCCATGCCAATGGCAGCAACAGCATCCATCTGCTTCTC